GTGTTGCCAGAGAAAAGAAGCAGAAAGAGAGCCAGACTTTCGTGAGTTGACGACTTGGTCAACTGTGTCTTGAAAGGGAACGGAAGGGGAGGCAGGGGCTCCGGGAAAACGACTGTCACCAATGTAGCATTTTGAGAAGCAGGCGTGCGATTTAAAACAAAGCATCTTTTAAAATATGAATATTCGGTACATAAAAAATACAAGACCATTTAATGTTGTGTAAATATTAGACGATATACTTATACGTTACATCATAATCAGCTGCAAACAGCTAGGGTTTTTTTGCAAATTTTAGTATTTTTCGTACATTTTTTATGAAACTTTTGAGATATGAAATTTTGGTGGATTAAAAGTACTAAACGTTATAACTATCATGTGTTATACGCACGTATCTTGTCACTATTGGAGGCGTGCATCTCATAATAAAAGTTTCTTCCTGAATTTTAGTATTTTTTGGACATTTTTAAAATAATTTTTGAATTATACAATATCGGAAGTAAAAGGTACTAGACCTTATAATACACATGTATACATATTTGACGAAATTACCACATGTTTTGCTATCATTAGTGTTGTGTAGTTTATAATAAAAATTTTTTGCAAACATTTGTACTTATTAGACATTTTTGTGATGAAACTTTTGAAACATAGAATTTAGGAATATAAAAACTACTACGACTTGTAACCATTGCGTATAAAAAATGATATTACTGTATGTTTTATTATTAACCCTGTAATCACGAAGCCTTTTACCACATAACCCAATAAATTCCGAACTCTTTAAAATACATCCAGGTAACCAAGAAGTTTTTAATCATATTATACGAGGAAAACACATTCATGACTATCTATGGCATTAAACTTTCCGTGGTTACCGGGTCATGGGGTTACATACGGTGGCCAATCACGGATCGAGTTACAGATTGAGTAAGTTTAAAATGGCGGCCTATCTATACCCCCTATAAAGATGTGCTGCTCCAACAAACGCAGTACGGCAGAGTGGGGATTAACACTAGTATAGCAGCCAACTTTGTTTGCTTAATAGCCATTTTACGATTGTTAGATACTGGAGCAAATACAGTAAGGGCGCAGTCCCATGGTACGCAAAAGAGCTCCGCAATATAAGATCCGCAATGAAAAGAGCCAATTAGAGGTATTGCACATTCCTTTATTTCGGAGGGGCAAGTTCGCTATGTTCATATGAGCAGGATAGACCGCTGCGAAACATATTAGAGCTCGTAGGATCAATAAGTACCAATAACCCAATAAGTACCACGTATCTCTCACTCGTACTCGTGAGTTCAAATTAGTTACGCATCGATTTTTTCTGCATATGTAGCCATAGCGAATTAAAGCTGTCCGAAATATAAGGTCCAGAATTATATTTTGTTTGTTGTTGTTCATCTATAAATGAGATTTTTTTTTTTATGATGTAATACTATGGTAGAAAGTTGCGTTTTGCATAAAGTTTCGAAAGTATTTTATTTTGTTTACTTTAATTTATCACAGCAGTGACTAAAACGGACCTATACTAGTAGCAAAATAACATCCAAAATATTTAAGACTCCACAAAAGCTGCGATTGGCTCTTTTCGTTGCGAACAGTCTATTGCGGAGCTCTATTGCGTAACGTGGAACAGCGCCACAAAGAAAGTTACTATACTGCGTTTACTAATATTCAAAGCAATGGCACGTTAATGTATCATCACCATGTTAACCGGATGGGCCTTGGTATTTAAGTTCCAAAGCGATCTCCTAATTTTCGTCCCAATAAACCTATGGTGTTCCATTGCTATAGGGACCGAGATATGGAGATGGCGGAAAAAAATTTTTTTAACGCTTGTTAACCGAACTGAATTGCGGTTAACAGATAGTATATGCTCAATGTGTGCAGTCAAAAGAAATTGTACTGTCCACCTCTGATTTATACAAATGGCTTGAGACAACTGACCGTTTGCCAAGTATTAACTTTGAATACTCTGATTCTGAATCAATTTATCATAATCGGAAAAAACTGCAATGAAGATTCAATATTAGCTCTAGAATACAAAACATTCAGATAAAACATTGTTTAATTCCTTTAAAAAATGCAAAGATTAGAGTGAAGACATATTTGCTATTTTCTACTTATGAAGATTTTCAAACTTTGTAATATAAGTATGAGTTTTTTATCATTCTTGACATAAATAAATTTGATAAAGAAACGGCATGATTTTATTTAAACGTAGACAACAATAACTATTTGGAAAAAATTATAATTATGACAGTTGATAAGAATTTACTTCGATAAAAATGATTAAATATACCTGTTGACCGCCACTTCAGATCCACCATTTTGAACTTACTCAATCTGTAACTCGATCCGTGATTGGCCACCGTAGTAACTTCAAAATACCTCAGAGTTATACAAGAACAAAATTTTATGAATATTATTCCAGTTAATCTGGCGAAAAAAATTTCCGAATGTTTATTAATTTTTTTCTTGAAATCAACGCCATTTCCAAAAACTTTGCACGAGACATTTTCAACTTATAATTTTACGTAGAATATAGTAGTATTTTTTAATTTGCAAAATTACGCCATTTTAAAAATATTGATCGCCATATTGGATCCGCCATTTTGAATGCAACAAATTTAACACAGGGATCGTACGAAAATCCTATAGTTGTGTTATAATTTAATCTTTACACATACTTTTTTGTCCTATGGAATAAGATATAATGAAAAAACTGTGTTTTTCAAGTGTCCTCTAGCGCTTACACTGTTTCTACTTCTATCGTAAGACAAAAATGTTTTAAAAGTACACATTTTGAGCTAACTTTAGGGAAAGAAAAAATTTAAAAAAACGTTATACTTTCTGAAAAATTGATTTCAAAAATTAAAACCTTTACGTCACTGGTGCTCTGTAAGTGAAAATTACCGTTCGCTAAGCGGGCGAGATTTTTTACTTACCAAGCACCAAGAGACGTAAGATCGTATACGCACCACATTTGGAGGTTAAGGAATGCCCTACATTTCACATTAACCGTTTATTCATGTGAAATCTGCGACATTCTTAACCTCACTCAATAGGTGCGTAATGTACTATAAAAACAGAAGGAATCCTAACCTCAAAAATTTTAAAAATATTTTTATCGTATTCTAGGGGAAAATTGCTAACAAAAAGCTTTTTTTTTCATACACATCGATTCGTCTAAAAAATGAATCTTTCCTTCTAATGAGAAACTCAAAATTTGTGACAGTCACTCACAGCAGAGGTAATGGTAAAAAAATCAGAAAAAATCACAGTAACGTTTTCTCATGGAGTACTCCAATCGCCAGAGGAATGTTCCATATATAGATATATAGTTTCTAAAGAAAATCTAGAACAAGGCAGATTATCTCCCACACTATGCCTTGACCCTCTGTAGGTAAAAAGTCGTCTCTACTTATCTCTAAGCTCAATAGCAGAGCTGAAAACAGCGTTCATCTGTACTAAGGCTACACGCAAGCAGCAGAAAAGAAAAGCTGTTCATATAGACGTGAAACCGCGACACATTGCCATTAGTTTTAAATAGGACTGCGTGAATCAGTCAAACTTATTAGACGGGACGAAATCAGCAATGGACCGGAAAAATTAATTCGCCCACAATTTTTTTGCACCATCCTTGTTTATAATGTGCTACTATATGGGGAAGTAAAGTTTGCCAAGCGGAAATGTGGTCTGAAATTGTTCAAACAAATTTTTTTTAAACATATTATAAAAATTAATTTTTTCGAGAAACAAAAAATAGCTCCTTATTTTTTGGCCCATTCTGAACAATTAATCAATTTGGGATGTATATAACTAAACCCTACAGGTTGCGAGTAAAAAATTCGCAAAGTCTTGTGAAACGCATTTTTTCCAAGTTTCAGGACTCCACGAAAGTGCTAAATAAACATATTTTCATGTGATGACCCACGAACGTTAACTATCAACCTTTCTTTACTACCTTCAAGAAAGAAAATGTCGAAAAGTTAAGTGGTAAGATTGTTTTTTTGGATAAACATTCCGGGCATTTGAAACGCTTTTCGGTGCGAGTATACATCTATATAAGTTTACTACATGCTGATGGCTGATCCACGAAGCGCATGTATAGGTATACACTCGCAACAGAGGGCGCTCTAAACGCCCTGAACGTTTATTGCAAAAAACAATCTTGCCACTCAACTTTTTGACATTTTTTTTTTGGAGATTGTAGAGGTAGGTTGACAGTTAACGTTTGTATGTCATAACGTGAAAATATGTTTATTAAGCACATTCGTGGAGCCCTGAAAATTGAAAAAAATGCATTTCACAAGACTTTGGGAATTTTTTACTCAAAAACTGTAGGGTTTAGGTGTATACATCCCAGTTGATTATTTGATTGGAATGGGCCAAAAAATAAGGAGCAATTTTTTGTTTCTCGAAAAAATTAATTTTTACAATTTGCTTAAAAAAAATTTGTCAATTAAAATAGTATACGCACCACGTTCGGATGTCAAGTAACGCCCCAGATTTCACGTTATTCGTTTATTTATGTCAAATCTGCGATAATCTTAACCTCGCTCACTTGGTAGGTAATATACTCATACTACATGCATGTTTTTGAGTTAATTCAACGGATTGATGTGTTCTTTTTAGAAATAAATACAGAAGCGATTGCTCTTATAAAAACTTCGATGAGAAAAGCTACAAAAGAACAAAGTTAAAAGTACAAGGTAGTAAGAGAAAGTGTTATTATAGTTTACTTAAGTATTTATTAATTTGCCTAGAGTGCGTTCTCTTATCCTTAGTACCAGCGTGCAAGTTAAAGATGTCGATTTATATATCGACATTATTAAACTTATGTTTTTTTGCAAAATCCACTATTTTTCGATTTTTTTATAACTTGCTTATTATATCACACGTATTGACAGCACATTTAACTTATTTATGAATCTTTAGAAAAAACTAAGATAGTACAGTGTACTAGTACAGTGTTCTCAGAGTCCTCCACAACTTTTAATTGCATTATTGTGAACTTTGAACAACAATTATACTCTTAAGTTTTTTCATACATTTAGTTACTATCATCGTCTTCATCATAATCTTCGTCACTGGTAACGTTTAGGTCACCAGTTTGTTCTTGGCACCTCTCGCACTTACATAGAAACAAGTACAAAGCGCTTAGAGCCTTTTGGCGGGAGTGTCGACTTCGTTTTAGCTGGCACTCGTCAAGGTACGAGATACAAATCTCTTGGTTAGGATGGATATCTCGGACGGCTCGCACAACTAAAGTGCTACTTGAATACGGAAATTCAATGATTGCGTTTGGTAGACAGCTGTGATTTATTGACGATTGAAGTACATAGAGTCCTGAGCCTTCACTGTTTAAAAAAGTCCCTACAACTAAAAAATACAAAGCTTTTCAGTGTTCATCGGAACAAACAGCATAACTTTTTTTGTTTATTTTTTTTTAAAGTACACGTGCATACCATTATCCATTTCATCGTAGATTCTATCAATAAGTTTATTAACTTGTGTTCGTTGAGTCTCGTCTAAATTAAGATTTGTCACGTTCTTAACCCACTGGCTAAATGGACTTGTTCCAATACCCTGGCCATTAGTCCCCACAAGAGCCAAAAGATTTCGAAAGCCATCTGGGGTAAACCACTAAAACAGTCATTAGCATAAAAAAATAATTAGAAGACACGCCACCAGCTCGCAAAAGCAGTGAGCTTACATTGGCCACGTCTGCGGTATTCAGAGTTTTCTGCATCATCTCCCTTAAAATGTCAATCTGGCCCATAAATTGCTCTCCAAGAAGTTTGTGGGCGATCTCATGAGTATCATTGGTAGTTCGATGGCAAAACTGAGAAAAAATACTTAATATGGATGACTTGTCTGTAGCCTGATTGACCATTGCAACAATTCTGGCAAGTAGCATAACAGTCGTAGTCTCTGGGGGGTAGTGCATCTGTTTCCAGGTTTCCTTCAACTGTAACAGTGGATGGTGTTGGTTGCATTCTCGCGTTTGTAGACACAAAGTCTCGTGATATCTAATGTATAGTAGGCAACAAAAAAAGTTTGAAAAGATGAAAACACAATAGTAAATATATTATGTTCTTTTAGTGTAAGAAGCCAACGACATGAGCAAAATGTGAAAACTTACTGATGCAAAGCATCTCCCTTACACTGAAGACAGCAGTACTGGACACCACATAACTCGCACTCAGTAGTTGAGTTTTTTGTAGTTCCACAGCACTCTGGGAAGGGCAGAATGAGGCTAGAATTGCCAGTGAGACGGCGGGCGTTTTCTTCGGCGCTTTCAAGTGGTCGCATACAGTACTCACATGCCCGGTACTTATAGTCAGTATTCCACGCGAATTGACAGCAGACCACTGGGTTCTCCTGAAGTATTACATCACCCACCTTATATGCGGTTTTAGCAAACAGACCCTTGCCCTGAAATCATTAATCTTAGTTAAGATCATGTAGTCATCAGTCAATTAAATTAACACTAACAGAGCCTTCTTGATGTTAATTTAAGTTAGAACTAATGCAATTAACTGAGGTAATCAAGTATATTCACGATTAAAAAATATGTTTGGCTATCGAACAGGTGCTCTAATAAAAAATACGACATGAGCAATAGTCAACAATAATGCAGTGCAGGCGCCCGCCGGTTAATTGATCGTTTTTAATTAACATATTTAATATCTTAGATGGAATAAACTGAAATATTACCATACATTTATAACGAAAATAAATTTATTAATTTTTAAGAACAATAGAAGTTACACAGATTCACAATTGTCTATTCGTACCAAATCCACGTGAATAAGTGAATATAAGTAATCAACGTTGATTTATTCTCAACTTGGCATTACTAAACTTATACCCACCTGAAGAAAGGATAACGGAATCCAATGTGTAATTACTTTAGAAAAGCGGTACGGCATTACATGTAGTTTTACATATGGCTTTACATAAGGAGTTTTGGATTCGTGATGCTGTATGTAATTCGATATGGAATTAGAGTATCAAAAAATTTATCACTACAGTGCAGCATGGCACTTGGCTTGTCTGATGTACCAGGTACCTATAGCAGAGATGAGTAATAGTGGGATCAAATTAAGTTTTCGGCAATGGAAATTCAGACCTTAGCGCAAAAAAAATATATTGTAGGGAGTTAAACAATGCTAATCAATTGTAATGAATTCGAGCAAAAAATATTTTTCGCCAAGGCGTCAGAAAAAAAAGGCAAAAATGGTAAAACACGGTTTTTAGTGTCAGAAACGAACAATAAGCCGTAAAATGAAAAATAAAAAATAGAGTAGTATGCGTGGCAAAAAGACAAACACAATGAGCTACGGTCGATCCCGATTGGTCCAGTGGTTTCCCCGCAAAATGCAAAAACCTCGTTTTTTGAGCCAATATTCAAAAATCAATAACTCTCTTTTGCATAAACATTAAGAACTTTAATTTGGCAGAATTGCAGCTTTAGTAATCTTCACTGACTACACTAATTTTCAGCAATATCGGATGGATAGTTTTTGCAAACCGCAGCTAAATGCAAAAAAAGGTACTTTGGCAAAACGACCTAAAAAAAGTTGTTGACAACGTTAGATGCAATTTTTTTGTGAGATCGTATTCTTTAATACTCACCATACAACTTACCAAAGTATCGAATTTTTTTGCAGTGTGGAAATTGCTTAAAGAATTATAAACCGTATGGGTATATTTTGTGCACGGCAGTACGGCGTGTGAGGGGCAATAAGCCCCCGTAGTCGCTGATGCAAAAACAACGTCCACTCTCTGAAGCTCGACACCGACGTTATCGACCGAGTATGTTCAAACTGCAAGCGCTCTTAAAAATAACGATATCTCGGGAAAAAATAATCAACTTCCACACTGCACAAATATTCGATACTTTGGTAAGTTGTACAGAAAGTATTAAAGAATACGATCCCACAAAAAAATTACATCTAACTTAATCTTTTTTAGGCCGTTTTGCCAAAGTACCTTTTTCCATTTAGTTGCTGTTTGCAAAAACTATCCATCCGATCGTGATGAAATTTAGTGTGGTCATTGAAGATCACTAACACTACAGTTCTGCTAAATTTAGGCTTTTAATGTTTATGCAAAAGAAAGTTATCAATTTCTGAATATTGGCTCAAAAACCGAGGTTTTTTGCATTTTGCGGGGAAACTACTGGACCAATTGGGATCGACCGGAACTTATTTTGTTCGTCTTTTAGCCACTCATACTTCTGTAATTTTTTTTTAATTTTAAGCTTTATTGTACGTTTCCAACCCTAAAACCAGTGTTTCACCAATTTTTTTTTTAAGCCTTAGCGGAAGATATTTTTTGTTCAATTTTATTACAATTAATTGGCATTGTTTAATTCTCTACAAAATATTTTTCTCACGCTAGTCTGAATTTCATGAAAAATTACCAACATTTAAGCTAATTCGATCACACTATAAGGAGATTGCTGAAGCCAATACTACGATGCGAGATGACTTTTTGGCACTGATCGGAGCGAAACGTCTCGGCCAGCCGTCAAACCAGGCGTACATTTTTCGACAGTGCGAGACTCGAACCGAACAGCGTGCGCCTACGAGAAAGGAGGGGATTCGTGCTGAAATGAGGCACACATTTTGGAGACACGTTGAAGGGGTATACTAAATGTGCGCCTACAAGGAGGGTAATAGAAATGTTAACTATAGCTACGTAGGCTAAATGCACAAAGACACCAGCGCAAACTTGTGGCTGAATGGTGAGTCTGCGTGGTTACAAGAGTACATGAAGTAGCATGGTTGCCTAAAGTTAATCATTTTTTTTTTTGATATTAAGATCCTTTCTAACAGCCTGATCATCTTAATTAGAATCTCTAACTCCTTAACTTCACAAAGATATTTTTTTCAGTATGAGATTTTGCTTCAATAAGTTGTAAAAGAGACATATGTTCCTTTGCTGTTCGTAAATGTGAGCTATATTGCGTGTTAGTACTACTATGTGTTCTCTATCCTAACGCACATAGCATGTGTTTGTACTACTATGTGTTCTCTATCTCTTTCACACACTTTACTGATACATACAATTAATATAGCTCACACGTACGAGCAACGCAAGAACATGTATCTCTTTTACTAATTGTTAAAGCAAAATCTCATGCTGCAAAAAATATCTTTGTAAAGTTAAGAAGTTAGGAATTATAATTAAGATGATCAGACTATTAGAAAGCATCCTAATATAAATAAATAAAATTATTTATTTCAGACAACCATGCTACTCTATGTATTCTCGTAACCACGCAGACTCACCATCCAGCCACAAGTTGGCGCTGGGGGTTTTTGTTCATGGAGCCTATTCGCTACGTGCACAATTTTGAAGCAGTGCCAATCAGGAAAAAACGAGAACTATTGGCCTCGCATAGCAGAAGGCAATATTCGCGATACGTACTACGTATACAACGTTTGTTTTTGTTTTCGAAGTCAGAGCTTCTGCATCTTTGCAGATTACGCCAGCTAATAGCTGTAAAAGATACACAGTATAAGATGTATTTCATCGCATTTTAATCAAAATGTTTCAATAAACATGCATGAGTAAAATTTGTACTTACTACTCATAATTTTCGTAAAAATTTATTCCTTAGAAATATTGTAGATGTATAAAAACAGAACTTTCTAATGTTAGTAATACTTAGCAGTCTACAAGCAGAAGACAAACATATAGCGTTTAGTTTTACATATTAGCACAGGTATTGCTGCGATCGCTTTTTCAGATTGTGCATGTAGTGAATAGCTGAGGGCACAGACAAAGCAATTTCTTAGGATATGAGTATAATTTTTACATTTTAAAACTCCCAAGAAATTATAAACATCCAATGTAAGAGAGAAAAAATCCGAAGGCACAATAAAACTTACACAAAACTCCCTTAACATTAATTTATTTACCGTCTTTTGTTGTAAAAAGTTTTTAGGTACAGCAGCTATACTTGTTGTATTGATTAAATATATAATTTCAATTTTAATTATAAAATGTTGTTGTAAAAAGTTTTTAGGTACAGCAGCTATACTTGTTGTATTGATTAAATATGTAATTTCAATTTTAATTATAAAATGTTGATTCTAGACCAAAGTTTCAATTAGCGTATGTAGATATCAAAACTTAATACCTTTAAAAATTATGCAACAAAAATCTGAACAGTAATGAAAAACAGATCTTATAGATCAAGATTAATTCTTTAATGAGCAGTAAAAGCTTTTTTTGCCCACTATTATAAATAAGAACTACTCAGCTAAACTTTATTATTGGTCTTAATTATCAAGGCAAAACATCAGCATCCATCAGCTACATGTTCAAATTTTTATTGGTAATAACATTCAAAAAACACAATAGAAAACATTTTTTTTAATTTTAAAGTTATTTTAGATCCCCAATTAGGTAAATGACTTAGTTCTAATTGAAGACTACAAAAAAAAAATAATAAAACAGCATTTGAATNTTATATTTGAAAATTAGACCATTTGTTACAGTTAATAAATAAGGCTTTACAAATTTATTCTCATTATATATAGGGGAGCTGGGGGGAGCGGAGGGGAGCGGGGGGGAGCTAGCAACAAGTAGGATTACTCGAAAAATGCAAGAAAATGAAAGGAAAACTACCTTATATGGAGGGAGCGGGGGGGAAGTGGGGGGAGCAAAACCTCGCTCTAACTCTTGCGATTAAATTTTAAAAATAAATCTAAGCTCAAACGAATAAAACGACCTCGATTAGCCAGCGCTTGTCTACTTAATCTCATATGTACATTTAAATATACTGCCTTTCGTCCCTCACGACCAATTAGATCACAGCGTATTCTGTCGACAGTCACGTGATACTGATTCTTTTGGGATAGAAAATCGTTTAAAATAATTATTAACAAAAAACACCACTCTTAATGCCTTCATTAAAAAAATAAAATCTTCATTATCCTGCATCACCCTGATAAGTTATAGTTTCCTTTTTTTATAAACAAATTAATAAGATATTTTGAAAAAATTATTATGCTGTATTTGATACATAACTTGAGAGTGTGTTTATAATCCAAAGATTATGATTGTTGTACGGTCAAATAAAAACATTATTGAATACAGCTTAAACATTTCTAAAAAAAAAAAAAAAAACTTGCATACTACAAATTATTAAAAATGATTTATGAGCTTGAAACTTTTATTTTTTTTAAAACAAAGCTGAAAGTTAATAGTGGTTGTAACCACAAAGTATAAATTATAAGGAATGTAAGTACAAGCAGGAAAATATAATATACGTATGCAGACAAATATTCTTGTCTAATTGGATGTATGTTCTACTTTTTTGGTAATCATCATATTTGATATTATTCTAATAAAGGTAAGTTTGCTTGTGCCTTCGGAATTTTTTTTCTCTTAAATTGGATGTATATAATTTCTTGGAA